GACATGATGACGGCTATGCTCTAGCCATACAATGAGATCGGAGTAGAGACCCAGCGCGACCGAGCGCTGCTCAGCGTTGGCTGAGCTCATCTTGCTATCTCGAAAAAGTGTCCTTTGGAACATTGTGCAGTAGCGCGCGCCATTGTAATCGATCCTTTTTGCTCAGCACGTGGCAACGCATTGAGTTCAAGGTTCGTCTCGTGAACTTCAGTGGTTGCTTATTTGAGTACACTCTCTTCCTTGGAAGGTTTGTGGTGTTTTCCTACATTTTACGCAATGGGTGGGTTACTGTCTCACCCCGTTACCGCCGTCCATCTACAACGACGTGCCAACGACAAGTTCCAATGCGGTGTCGCAACTCTACAGGGTTGGAGGATCTCTCATGAAGATGCGCACTGCATAGACTTGGACTGGGGTTCAACTCATGAAGAAGGCTTCTTTGCTGTACTCGATGGTCATACTGGTGATGACGCTGCCGAGTTCGGATCAAAGGAGTTACCTAAGCAGCTAGACGAGTCGGCTGGAGATCCCGAGGACCGCACTGTACAAGGCGTACAGGCCGGTTTCTTAGCCACTGATCAGGCGCTGAGAGAGACTCATTCTGAGGCCGGCGCTGTTGTTGTGGCTTCCATTGTAGGACTAAGGGGATCTCTATTGTGATCGTAGTTCTATACAGTAGAAGGATCGTAGTACTGTGTAACGCAGTGTATAGATGTAAATGCTTCCTGCAGTGTAAAAGGTTTTAACAAGAGTGAAGTACAATGAATGCGTCCATCGATGATTCACTTCCGCTTAGCTCGAAGTAGAATTTTTGTAGAATTTCTCAGTCTATAAATCTGCGTTTGGCAGCTGTTTGAACATGAAATCAGAGTGTTATAATTGGGTAACCATCATAATGTTGACGCTAGTCAGCTTGTCATTGGCTTTGACCGCATACATGATTGAATTTGTGTAGGAAAGCTCTTTATCGTAGACTGTGCTCAGGTGACGCCTCTTGGCAACGGAAAATACAAGGTTCGCCTCATGAACGCTGGTGATTCCCGCGCATTG